TTTTTGTATTACTCCTTCAATTTCATCAATAGTTATCAGCCGAATAAGTTTTTTGATTCTTCTTGATTGAATTTTGGAAGATTTTATTTTTCTAGGAATATGGCCATTTCATCAAGGTTGTCCAGTTTATTGGAGTAGAGTTGTTCATAGTTTTTTTTTGTTTTGTTTTGTTTTTTTTACAATACTTTGTATTTCTGTGGGGTCAGTTATTACTTCACCTTTTATTTCTGATTTTGTTAATTTGGGTCCGCTCTGTTTCTTGGTGAGTCTGGCTAGAGGTTCATCAATCTTGTTTATCTTTTTGAAGAACCACCTCTTGGTTTTATTGATCTTTTGTATTTTTTATTTCTATGTTATTTATTTCCACTCTGATCTTTATTATTTCTTATTTTACATTCTCACTCGAGCATATTTTTTTATTGATTTTTAGAGAGAGTGGAAGAGATAAAGACAGAAAGAAATAATGATTTGAGAGAAACACAATGATTAGTTGCCTCCTGCATGAGACCTGATCAGGGACTGGGCCAGGGAGGAGCCTGCAACAGAGGCACATGCCCTTGACCAGAATCGAACCTGGGACCTTTCGGTCCACAGTCCAATGCTCTATCCACTGAGCCAAACAGGCCAGGAAAATGATCTTTCTAATTTATTCCTTCTACTTACTTTGGGCTTTTCTTGTTGCTCTCTTTCTTATTCTTTATGTTGTAGGGTTAGATAACTTACTACAAGTTTTTCTTGTTTCTTGAGGTAGTGCCTACCTTCATCTCAGCAATGCTTTCACTGTGTCTCATAGATTTTGGATTGTTGTTTTCATTGTTATTTGTTCCCAGGAGGTTTTTTTCTTCTTCTCTGTTCTCATTTGCAACCCATTCATTGTTTAATAGCATTCTATTTAGCCTCCATATGTTTGATTGTTTTTTATTGTAGTTGATTCTAATTTTATGTCATTGTGATCTGAGAAGATGCTTGAGATGATTTAAATCTTCTTGAATTTGTACAGACTTGTCCTGTGTCTTAACATGTAGTCTGTCTTTGAAAATGTCCCATATGCACTTGAGAAGAATGTATATTCCATGGCTTTGAGGTGAAATGTTCTGAAGTTGTCAGTTTCATCTGATCTAGTGAGTCATTTAGGATTGCTGTTTCCTTGATGATTTTGTCTAGATTTATCCAATGATGTCAATGAGGTATTAAAGTACCCTGTTATGATTTTGTGTTGCCATCAATCTATCCCTTGATATCTTCCAGAAGTTTTTTTTTTATGTATTTTGATGCTCCTGTATTGGGTGCATATGTTTATCAGAGTTATATCCTTTTCTTGTATTGATCCCTTTAGTATTATGAAGTGGCCTTAATTATCTCATTATAGCCTTCACTTTGAGGTCTATTTTGTCATATATAAGTATTGCTACCCCAGCTTTTTTTTTTTTTTCCATTCACCTGAAAAACCTTTTCCATTCCTTCACTTTCAATTTGTGTGAATCTTTTGTTCTGAGATGGGTCTCTTGTAGACAGCAAGGGTCATGTTTTCTTATCCATTTAGCTATCCTATGTCTTTTGATTGGAACACTTAATTCATTTATGTTTAAGGTTATTATTGGTAGGTACTTGTTTGTAGCCATTTTTATTCTTTATGCCTGTGTTCCTCCCTCTCTATTTCTTCTTCGTACAATAGTGCCTTTAAGATTTCTTGCATTGCTGGCTTGGTTATAATAAATTCCTTTAACCTTTTTTTGTCTGTGAAGCTCCTGATTTCACCTTCAATTTTGAATGATAGCCTTGTTGGATAAAGTAATCTTGGATTCAGTCCCTTGCTTCTCATTACTTTGTATACTTTATGCCACTCCCTCTGGCCTGATACATTTCTATTGAGAAATCAGTTGATAGTCTAATGGGATATCCTTTGTAGGCAACTTTCTGTTTCTCTTTTGCAGCCTTTAAGATTCTTTCTTTGTCTTTAACATTTGCCAATTTAATTATGATGTGTCTTGGTATGGGTCTTTTGGGGTTCATCTTGTTTGAGACTCTTTGTGCTTCCTGGTCTTGTGTGAATTTTTTCTTCCCAAAGTCAGGATAATTTTCTGTCATTATTTCTTAAAGCAGGTTTTCTATTCCTTGCTCAGCTTCTTCTCCTTCTGAGACCCCTATTATGCAGATGTTGCTTTGATGTTGTCTGGAAGCTTCCTTAAACTCTCCTCTTCCTTTGTCTTTTTACTTTTTAAAGTCTTTATTGTTGAAAGTATTATGTATGTCCCATTTTCCCCCATTGATGCCCTCTAGCCCGCCACCACCCCTGGCCCCACGCTTTCACCACCCTACTGTCTGTGTCCATGGGTTATGCATATATGCATACAAGGTCTTTGGTTGATTACCTCCCAACCACCAACCTCCCTCCTCCCCCCCAACACACCTTCCCTTTGAGATTCTGCACTCTGTTCCATGTTTGCATGTCTTTGGGTCCACTCCATTCATCAGTTTATTTTGTTCATTAGATTCCACATGTGAGTGAGATCATGTGATACTTGATACATAGGGGTGCATACATCTTTCTGATTGGTGTTTTGGGTTTCTTAGAATATATTTCTAGAAGTGGGATCACTGGGTCAGATGACAGTTCTGTATTTAATTTTTTGAGGAAACTCCAGATTGTTTTCCATAATGGTTGCACCAGTCTGCTTTCCCACCAGCAGTGTACTAGGGTCTTCTTTTCCCAACATTCTTGCTAGCACTTGTCATTTGTTGATGGTAGCCATCCTGAAAGGTATGAGGTGATGCCTCATTGTCATTTTAATTTGCATTTCTCTGACAATCAGTGACTTTGAATATTTTTTCATATGTCTCTTGGCTCTGTATGTTCACTTTGTAAAAGTTTCTATTTAGGTCCTTTGACCATTTTTTAATTGGATTGTTTGTCTTCCATTTGTTAGGTTGTATAAGTTTTTTATATTCCTCCTGCTTTAATTTTTTTCCAATTGCTGCTCTGAATGTTTTTTTTCCCTACCCTGTCTTCTAACTCACTGATTTTTTTCCTCAGCTTCATATAGTCTACTGATGAAACGTTCCAGGGTGTCCTTTATTACAGTTATGTCATTCTTCATTTCTCCTTGATTCTTATCCATTTTGGTGTATTTCCCACTCAGCTCCTTATAATTTTCATTCAGTTGCTTGTAATTCTCAGACAGATGTTTTAGCATCTTTATAACCATTACTTTGAATTCTTTACCTCACAAATTATTTGCCTACATTTCATTTAGTTCCTTTTCTCATGATTCCTCCTTATGTCTTTCCTTTGTGGATTGTTTCTTTGTCTCCCCTTTTTTTGCTATCCCTTTGTATTTGTTTCCATGTCTTAGATCAAATTGCTATGTCACCCAGCTTTTTTGGAGGTATGCTTTGTAGTAGGTGTTTTGTGGGACCCAGTGGTACAGTCTGTATCTCCTGAGCTGGGTGTTCTAGGAAATCCCCCTACTTGAGTCATTTGGGTTCTCCTGATGCAGTTGGGACTTAAATGTTATTGTCCCATTTGTGGATGGAGTCTCCTTACAGGTTGTCTGACTATGTGGCTCACCCCAACCTTGCCATGCAAGCTGTTGTGGATGTGCTCAGGGTTCTAGCTCCCAAAGCAAGAGTTACCTGCAAGGTCCCACTGGCATGCAACTCACTGCACAGTCCTGGAGCCTGCACCAGGGTGGCCAGTGACTCTATGACTCACTGTGGGGATCCTAGAACCCACGGAGAGGGTCTCTTTCTGGGTGCTGCTGGTATGCTGCTCACTGCACAGGTGCAGTGGGTCTAGGGTAGTGTCCAATGCCAGTCTGGTTGGTGGTGGAACTGTAATCCTAGCCACCACTGCTCTCCCCCTTTAAGATGGCATGGTTTCCATGCCATCGCCATGGCCTTCCAGGAAGTGCCTGTGGCAATAACAGGGGCTCTTTGTCCAGGAGAGTCTGATCTGCCAGCCCCTGAGACTCCTGTGAAATCTAACTGTCCCTCATAGACAAACACACAAACCATGTACATTCACACATTCCCCTCTCACTCCCTTACTCATTCACACTCTCACCCTCACTCCCATCCTGCCAGCCATCATGTTCTATTACTTTACTTTTTATTGGTTTCATCAAAGTTAAAAGGTGTGAGGGTAAAGGTTTGCCTCGTTTTCTTGTAGGAAAAATTATACTTTTCAAAGAAGAATTGAGGAGAGGAATAATACTACCATATAATTTAAAAATTAACCTCATGGGAACCTGTTTGGCCTCATGTCTTTTATGGCACTCCATGAACACAAGGACCATATCTTATTTCTGATACTGCAGTACTTACTTCTTGGTACATGTGCATATAAGTGCTTGCTTGAATGAATAAAAGTTAGCCTGCTGATTCTAGTTCCTCTAAATATGGAAAAAAATGCTCATATAAAAATCAAGAGATATTTATTGTTTGGGTTGCCTAGAATTGGCAAAACTGTCCATTTAAATGGCTTGTATTCCCTCAAGAAACTTCCCTGTGCTCCATAAAGTGAGCACAAATTACTAGCAGGCATCACAGATCTTCTCCAAAGCACTGTGCAGTGGGTATCTCTGGAGAGGATGCTCTGAGAAATCCACTTTTTACTATTTTACCCAAGGGAGCAACACCTCAAGCATCTAATATTTTTGTTGTTGTTGCATATTTCCAGCACAAAATGATAATAAATCACAATAAAATTATATTAAACATAGAAAATCATACTTTCCCCTCCTTCAAAAAATAAATTGCCCATGAAAATTTACCAGTCATGAGAGTGAAGGTGATGGGAATTCCTGAAATATTCTGGAAGCAGGCTGAAAGCTAGAAAGAGTAATTCCCTCTATACTCATATAGTTTTATATAGAAGAGTCAGCATTTCAGGGTAGCTTTTTCCTAGTACATTTCAAATAAGAACATATCGCTGTCTCATGTATCACAGATAATTTCATTTCCCATGAGGTATCATCTAAAATGACCTAAAACAAAATTACCCCTTCACAAAGCTATCTGAAGTGCCTCCTGACTTCACCACTGTCAAATTCTTTGCCTCTTTGATGAGCACTTCTAGTATTCCTCCAGATAGTACAGGTGGTTTCTTCTTTCCCCTTTTAAAGGTCTTCTTTCCTGTGTGAGCTATCAAAATGAAAGGGAGAGAGAGAGAAGGAGGGAGGAGGAGGAGGAGGAGGAGGAGGAGAAGAAGAAGAAGAAGAAGAAGAAGAAGAAGAAGAAGAAGAAGAAGAAGAAGAAGAAGAAGAAGAAGAAGAAGGGGAGGAGGAGGAGGAGGGAGATAGATCATGAGTTCCATTTAAAAATTTACTAAAAAATACTAAGATTTATTTCATTTACTAATTGAATCAGGCCTTAACACATAGTTACCTTTTTATTAGGTTTGGTGAGAACACTTAAGATTTACTCTTTTAGCCAATTTCAAATATACAATATAATACCATTAGGTATAGATACCATGCTGTACATTAGATCTCCAGAACTTATTCTCCCCTAAAGTGAAAGTGTGTACCCTTTGAGCAACTTCTCCCCATTCTCCCCTTGCCCAAGCCCCGGGTTACCACTGGTTTACACTCTGCTCCTGTGAGTTTGACTTTTTTTAGATTTCACATATAAGGGAGGTCAGATAGTATTTTTATCAATTACATCTCCATAATGCTGGGGAGAGGAAATAAATTTTATGCTATGATTCTAAGGCCTTCCAGGGTTTGCGAGGAAATCCCCCAGAAAGATACATGATCTTCTTTGGGGGCAAACTTCATTTGAGGTTCTGTATCACTTTCCAACTATATATGAATTTAAGCTAAGGTGGATTGTATTTTGACACAGTGACCACAAATATTGAATTTTCCAAAACTACAGTTTCACATTAATAACAATAATATTTCAGATTGCAGACTTAAGTATGGAACAGATATCTTAATATTATTGTATATTTTTCCATGTATTGATTTAATTTATTTTTACTCTGTTGGATTTCTTCTAGATAGGTCTTTCATTTGTGTTTGTTGGGAAAAATAAACAAATAAATTTAAAACTTTAAGTACTACCCTGCAAAGTATCTTTTCACAGACTATAAAAGAATAAAATGCAAATGATCCTGAGAGTTGCCTGAGCCACATTCTTGCTCTCATTGGAAAATAACTACAATGAAAACCACACACAAGCATCAAGACTCTAAAAGAGAAAAGTCCATAACTCTCTTCTTTGAAATTTTAGTCTTGTAAATTGTCATCTCCATGCGGGGCCAGTTCTTTATAAGGGATATAGCCCAGGCACAATTATATTTTTGAGTGAAAGAACACTCTTTCTACATCCCATCTATATATATTAAAGCCTAAGCGACCGTTAAGACCAAACGACCAGAACGACTGGAACGACTGGTCGACCAGTCACTATGACGTGCACTGACCACCAGGGGGAAGACACTCAATGAAGGAGCTGCCCCCTGGTGGTCAGTGAACTCCCACATTCAACCTCCCATGGCCCCTGCCCCCAGCCAGCCAACCTCCCATGGCCCAGCCCCCTGGCTGGCTGACCCTCCAATCGAGCCCGAATTGGGGGCTGGTCAGCCAACCTCTATTGACCCCTCCTCCTGGCCAGCCAAACTCTTGCAGCCCCTCCTGTGGCCCTTCCCCCTTGCTGGCCAACCTCCTGTGGCCCTTCCCCCTTGCTGGCCAACCTCCCGTGGCCTCTCCACCCTCCCCACCAGCCAACCTTCTGTGGCCCCTCCCCCCAGCTGGCCAACCTCCCATGGCCCCTCACCCTGGCTGGCCCCCCAATAGGCCTCAATCACCAGCCAGACCAAGGGATCGCACCGGTGCAAGAATTCATGCACTAGGCCTTTAGTTTCTATTATAATGAAATGTGCTCAACATGAATAATAACCACTACCACCTTTATTTAGTACAGTTTTAAGCAGTTTCATAAATGAACCTACAGTGGGGCCTTGACTTATGAGTGTCCCAACTAACGAGTTTTTCAAGATAGGAGCCGTCTCTCGGCCAATTTTTTGCTTGGAGTTGTGAGCTAAAATTTGGGTTATGAGCCAGCTTCAGATACCCCACTGCTAGTTGGCGCAGCGAACGTCACAGTGAACGCCACAACATCAGCCCAGCATCACGTGTCTCACTCGTTCACTTTTTGATTTGACATACGAGTAATTTGAGTTATGAGCTCCGTCACGGAACGAATTAAACTCGTAAGTCAAGGCCCCACTGTATTTAATCCTTGCAATGTCCTTATAAAGTAAGGAAATGGAGGCCGAGATATAGTAAGTTACTTACACAGGGTCACAATGAAGAGGGTGATAATGAATGGAAGGATAGAGGAGACTGCCTATAGGAGTTGATGGAAGGAGAAAAGCAAGAGGGATTTAAAAGTTGATTCCATCTGGATTTTTCCTTTACATTCTGTGTTCTAGATTAGCACTTCCTCAAGACTTGCTGGGTAGCTGTGAATGCCATTAAGCCATACAGCAGCTATCTATACCTCCCTTCTCTGCAGACAATGCCCCCCCCCCCCCCCGGGAAGATCCTATATCTCTGGGACTTCACAGAAACAAATGTTGCCATTAAGACTGGTTTCTATGTATGAACTTAGAATCCCATACCGTTCTCCATATATAGTACATCTCAACTCTCCTCAAAAGCCAGTGACACCTAACCCTTTACATTTCATGTGTGTAATGCAAAAGTAACATAGTCCAAAGAATCTCTGATCCCTATTCTCACACTTCTAGAACAAAATGTTCTTGATTAAAGGCATTTATTTTTACTTTACCTTGAAGTTGTCCTGGTGGGAACATCAGGTATTCATCTGGGGGAATATATCGTAGAACAACTGTCAGCTCTCCTTTGTATTGAAGGCCAATATCAGTAGATAATTCCATCTGGCCAAGAGAAGACATATAAAAAGTGAAAATGCTTGTTTTGTTATTTTGTAGCCCATGTTTATACAACATTTACTTGGTGATTTAAATGTGAGAATCCATTCCCATTCAACTATGTTATCACTTACTTGTTTAAGAAATGTCTTATGTATGAGAAAAGAGAGGCTGGAAACTCTAAGAAGGTATTTACATATAACTTTTAACATTAAATTAAAAAGAATTTGAGAGGAGATGTGTAACACACATTTGGTCAGTTAATAGATACTGAGTGCCTGTGATGCATTGAGGACTGGACCATCACTGAACATTCATATAGTTTGGGGTATGAGGCAGGGATAAAGATGTCACTGAAGATAGCCTCATAAGGTACTTCTTCCTCTCTGTCCTAGATGTCCTAAGGCTTTCATAAGTGACTAAGATGGGGAAAGTAAGCAGTAATGCTTGATTCACACTGGGCTACCAGCCGCCAATTATAATTCACATCACTAAAATTCAATGTGGAAAAACTAATTCACTAAAACATTGCTGGTGGAAATGTAAAATGGTGTAGTCAATCTGGAAAATAGTTTGGCAGTTTCTTAAAAGACTAAATATGTAACTGCCATACAACCTAGCAATTGCACTTGTGGGCATTTATATTAGAGAAATAAAAGATTATATGCACATAAAAACCAGTCCACAAATATTTGTATCATCTTTATTTATAACTAGTAGCCCGGTGCATGAAATTTGTGCACATTAAAAGGGAATTAATTGACGGAAATATATTAATATTTCTGTTTGCTCTTTCTCTATAATAGAAGTGTGAGAGATGAAAGAAAATTGGTAAAATGTATATGAAAATAATATATATTTTTATTAATAAATAAGCAGTAGCAAAAGGATATAACAACAGAGGCATAATATAAAAAAGACAAACACGTGATATGAAAACAACAGTGATGCAAACAATGACTGATAAAGTGATTAAACTTATTCTAATATCTCCCTGTACACCAAAATAAGAGTGAAAACACTTTCAGAGTGCTTGACTAATTTCCCTTGCGCTGAAGTATTTAGAACTTTAACTTTAACATCACATGCTCTTTGAACTCGAGAGAAAGCAACATATAACTGACCATGTGCGAAAACGGGTTCAGGTAGGAATATGCCTGCTCTGTCTAGAGTTTGTCCTTGTGATTTATTAATAGTCATCACAAATGCTGGCATCACGGAAAACTGTTTTTGAATCAATTTAAACGGAAGGCCAGTGTCCGATGGGGCCAAATCAATTATTGGAATCAGAACAACCTCTCCCTCTGCAGATCCTGTTAATACTTCAGCTTTGATAATGTTAGGTTGTAATCTTTTGATAATAAAACTGGTACCATTACAAAGACCCCATTTACTATTAAGATTTCTCAATAGTATGATGGTTGCACCCACTTTCAATTTTAATTTATGACACAGCATTCCCAAAAGAGTAATACTATTAAGAAACTCGATGGGAAAATTTTCCTTTTCAGCATCATCTGTGGAATCAACAGAATCATCACTCAAATATATGTGAAAATCTCCATCGAGTATATCCAAAATTTCTTCATTTACTTTTTGAACATGCTCATTTTTTGGACAAAGAATTGCATGTTAAGAAATATTTTTAATATTATCTATAGATATAGTATTTCCAAAGATAGCTTCAATAATAGATCCATTACAAATCATTTCACAGGAGATTTCAATAATATTCATTCTTAAATGAAAACTGCTATCATTTGCCATCTCCAAGTTTTACTAACCATTCACTATAAGCAGAATCCTCTGATCTCATATTTGTTGTAAGAGACAACTTTCTGAAACATCTCCAAACATTGCAGTACTTTAAACTCGTTTGTACTATGGCCGATCACATAGCATGTGGTATAATACTGAGACATTGTCAAAAATCCCCTCCAAGAAGGAGAACTTTCCCACCAAATTCAACATTCAAATTTCTCTTAGTAATCTGTCTGTGGTGTTTATAGCATGACTGGGTGCCATGGTGCATTCATCAATAATGAGAAGTTGGGCCTTTTTAATAGTTTTAGCAACTTCACTGTTTATATTGAGTCTAGAAATAGAAGTTTCATTTAGTGGAATGGGTAATTTATATTGGGAATGAAAGGTGCTTCCATCGAGAAGTAAATTTGCAGCAATTCCTGTAGACGCTGTGGGTAAAACAGGACTACCACGACCTCTAATATAATGTATTAAAACTTTATAAAGGTACGCATCCATGCTCCAAGGGCCGATTCCTGCCTTAAACCTCGCCCTTACCAGAAACAGCTCAGGGAGGGGGCAGCTGTGGCTAAGAGGACCCAGGACTTAGTGCGTCCACACTCTGAGGGTGGGTTCCTGCCTGAAACCTTGCCACCCTCATGGGAAACAGCTCAGGGAGGGTGCAGCTGTTTCCAAGACAACCCCTGCAGGACTGACTTCCTTCCATTTGGTTGAGCCTCGGTCATGCTGTTACACCCAGGGTTTTTATATAAATAGATAGTAACCCACTGGAAACTACTTAGATGTCCTTCAAGAAGTGGATGATTAAATTAACTGTGATATATCTATACCATAGAATACTACTCAGCAGTAAAAAGGAATGACTATCGATATACACAACAACTTAGATCTCTAGAAAAGTATGCTGAGTTACAAAAAGACAGTCTCAAAAGATACACACTATACAATTTCATTTATATGACATTCTTAAAATGATAAAATAATAGGTATGGAGAACAGATTAGTGGTTGCTAGAAGTTAGGGGTGGGCATGGCAGGAGGGAAGTGGGTATCATTATAAAAGAACATTAGGGATTTTGTGATGATGGAACTGTTCTGTAACTTGGCTGTTTGGTAGATACACAAAGCTACACATGTGGTAAACTGGCATAGAAATAAATATATAAGCACACACACAAATGAAAATTGAGGAAATCTGAATAAAATTGATAGGTTATATCAATGTCAGTATCTTGACTGTGATGTTGAGGGAAACTGGGTAATGGCTATATAAGATCTCTCTGTATTACTTATTATAACTTTATGTTGAACTATAGTCATCCTAAAATCAAAAGTTTAAATGAAAAAAATGCAAATCAAAAACATATGTTCTGTAGGCCTCCCCCTTGCCACTGAGTCAACTGAACTTTAATTCTTCATAATTAGGGTAAGAAAAGTAATGTACTTTCTAAGAATCTTCATTAAGAAATCGGACTCCTTAGTACTGAGCCAAGAATGTGAGAACTACTCTCTTCTGAGAGAAGACAGACTGAAAAAATTCAGAAACCTAAAAATTCACAGCAAAGCCAGAAACTGTTCAAGCCTCAGGAAAAAAAAAAAAAAAGAAAGAAAGAAAGAAAGAAAGGAAGACCAAAAGGAATCCTTGTCTGACTGTCTTTCCTTTTTAATATATATATATATATATATATATATATATATATATATATATATTATTGATTTTTTTACAGAGAGGAAGGGAAAGGATAGAGAGTTAGAAACATCAGTGAGAGAGAAACATAAATTAGCTTCCTACTGCACACCCCCTACTGGGAATGTGCCTATAACCAAGGTACATGCCCTTGACTGCAATTGAACCTGGGACCCTTCAGTCTGCAGGCCAATGCTCTACCTGCTGAGCCAAACGGTTAGGGCTTTCTTTCATCTTGATTGTGGTAAAACTTATTAGTAAGTGTGGGAAATCATTTAAGTATTTTATTCATCCATCTTACCAGGGGCAAAAATGAGATTACATGGTGAAACACTCTTCATCTAATATTTAATCTGATTATTTTAGAACGAGTGCTTTGTAAAGGACTTCTCTTATTGTTTTGAAGTTTCAATAAATTTTGGTTCATGAGAATGTCATAAATGAAAAATTATAATGGATATTATGGCAGATTCAAAAGGTCACTACTTTTTTGATACTGTAGCTAATGAGAAGTGGGGTGTTTGTCCTTTATTTTTGGATCTGAATGGGCTCTGTGATTGCTTTGACTGGTAGAAGATAGCAGAAGTGACAATGTGCCAATTTTGGGGTCTGAGCCTTAAGATTAAAAGCTTCTACTTTATCTCCTAGAATAGATATTCTTGGGATATTCCCTCTGAAAACCCATGATAGAGGCCATGCCACATGTAGGTGCACCTACTGTCAGGGCTGAATTCCTAGCTGGCAGCCAACATCAAATTTGAGACAGCCACTTGACCAACTTGGTCAACTTTTAAGATAACTTCAGCCTTACTCTCCCATCTGGCTGTAACCACATGAGAGACTTTAAATGAGAACCACCTAGGTGAGCCCAGCTACCTCACAGAATGATGAATGATAATAATAAATTATTATTTACACTACTAAGGTTTAGTGTAGTATTTTTGTACATGTGGGAACAGGCTCTATTTGCTTTTGGCTGAGACCTTCTGGTGGGAAAATATGTTGGTAGAAAACAGTGATATGTGCAAGTGTCACATACTAATATATAATGTATTAGTAGAGATAAAAACTTGCATTATTGGTGCCTGGGCAGTATGGCTCAACAGCAAACCAAAAGGTCACTAGTTTGAATGTTGGTCAGGGCACATGCTTAGATTGTGGGCTCGATGCTCAGTAAGGGGAGTGCAGGAGGCATTTGATCAATATTTCTATCTCTCACTCTCTCTCCTTTCCTCTCTCAAATCAATAAAAACATATGTATTTTTAAAAATGTGTATTATTGGGATTTATTAATGTTTCATTGGTTTTTAGCTTAAAATATACTGGTGACTTTATATAAATAGAGTCTTCAAATCTTGTAAAATTAGGAAACAAGAAATATGAAGTCCTGTAGCTTCATAATCACATACAAAAGAAAGCCAAGATGGGGGAGACACCTGGCACTCTGCACATATCTAATGCTTAGGGGCATTATTTTTTTTATTATTACAAGGGAATTCTAAGGCACCATGCTCTCCTTCTCAGACAATTCATTCTCAGACAAAAGTAGCAGAATT